AAATCTCAATTCGAAACTTTATTTTATAAAATTTCAAAACTACATCATAATAAAGCCAAAGCAATATTCTAAAGTCCTAAACATCATCATTACTCTAATGCCTCATTATAAAATTTTTAGCTTGCTGGTAATGATCTTGTGCCTCATTTAAGAAGTCAAGTAATCATCGTCCATAAGCTCATACTGGTTACACCATGACCTTCAAATCTTCCACTTCTTCTTTCATTTATGATGCCTTTTCTGTAATAGTGCATAGCCGATCGAACATGTGCTTTAGATGTTTTTATTTTTTCATGCACATGTCCTTCCATAGCTCACTCTATTTAGCATGTTTCCTATATTCATTAGTTAAGGCTTTTACCTATGCTATGCACTAATCCACTATCCCTTGTAGCATTTGGCTATATCTGTATGCCCTAGCAGTGGCCTTTTATCCATCTTCGACCCTTGCTTTCAATAATTCATTTTTTTTTAAAAGTCGGGCAAGCTTTGGTATAACTAATGAATGTATTTTGTTTAAATAATGGAATAAGGCTTTCCACTGATCTTTTTGCTCAATAAGGGTCTGGACTTTCTATTCTTGTAGCCTTAACGTTTCTCCCATTTCTATCTTTAATCGTTTATTTTTTTGCTTCAACTCATCCTTCTCATTTTGGTAGGTTTTTTTGTTGTTTCCATTTTAAGCAAGAGATGTTGAGGAATCAATTTTAGAGAATGGTCAAATATTTGTTCTCGATGAAGCACAATATCTTTGCCCATTCATATATGCCACACAATATAATCCAGAGTGACATCATAAGTAAGCCTCTCTTGGCTAACCTTGATAGTTTGTTTCCATGCTTTTTTTATCATTTCGATCATTTCATATGCCATTTTTTCAGTGAAAAAATTTCCACTAGTTAAGCCTATAGGTTTATGGAATAAATTGCTTATAGCTGGATTGTCTTCTTATCAAAGTTAGGGCATCAGTAATAGCACCCCATAAGCCTAATAAAAACACCCAAGGTTGATTCCTACAATAATATAGCATTGTATCATAACGTATCCAAGATGCTCTCTAAATTATCCTTTAACTATCCAGCGTATGAAAATACGAACCCATTCCTCTTTCGACTACGCCTTAGGCCATGTGCTGCAACAAAATTCCTTGATTGAAATACTAGAGTGAAGGTATGGTTTGCAAAATTGGCTTTCTTCACACTCATTATGACTCTTCATCCATACATAAAGTAATTGTAAGCACCCATTAAATAGACCTTAACCATTTATGTGATAAAAATTTAAAGAACAAATGGTTTCTGCTAAAATGGTTGGTGTTGCATTGACTTTGTATGCTAATTGATCAATAAAATCTATCATTACGACATCAACATGTCCAATAACTTTTGGGAAAATCACCAATCCATATAGAGCTATAACCATTACCATCGTCCCCTGATCATCATTCAAATGCCCCTTGATGAAGTCTCACAAAAAACTTCATAGGATAACCTTACTTTTACCTTTTGTTTTAATGCATGCATCAACTTGAGGTAAGCTAAGTTCAAGCATTTGCACAAGCTTCTTATGATAACTCACCTTATTTGAACAATAAATCTTGTCTAGTTTGGCAAATCAAAGCTGAGTAAGACCATGTACTCTTCCATTATATCTGCTTCACTGAAGATGAAACACATATGAAAAGGATTCCAAAACTAAAGGATGGCTCTGGTCAAATTATTGTCTACACCCACTTAAAACAATAAAGCTATGTCTTTATATTTGTTTTCAAATATCTCCTACATTGTTCTACTCATGCATCCCTGAACATTACTTAAGTCAGCCAGGTCATTTTGTTGGAGATTAATATGAACTTTCTCAGGTAATAATGAGATAAAACCCCTAGGCAAGCAATTACCCTATTTTCTTTGACCTTTCTCTGACCTGGTTTTCAATTGATAAAGAGATTTACAGTGAATTGATGTAGACTTTGATTACATTTGACTTTCCATGGATGTAGGTATGATATTTGATTTATCAATAACTGATATGTGACAAATATTTCCTATATGAGAATGATGCAAATGACAATGTTAAATATGATGAAAATGATGCATGGAATCAAATGATATTGAAATGATGCAAATGCACAAAGTCAAACAAACAAAATGGTTAGATAATCACAATATGTTTCTTCTTGTGTCATAATTTTGGGTTACTTCTATTAACAAGTGGGAATGGCTCTATCTTAAGGCTATCATCTTAAGTGTAAACTATATGCAGGGTTAGGTAACTTTAACCACTAAAGGTTCTCAAACTATTTTTTACATCATTATCCATCATAGACTAGTAAGGCAGTCTAATTCTTACCCATCACAGGCTACCAATGAAAAATATTCAATTTGAGTAGGAGTATTCGCTAGCTATTGAAGAGATTATTATTTCACGAGAGCATAGGAACTTTACTCCTTCTTACGAAGGACGGAGCCTGAGTATAGAGCTCATATAATGCAAATACATATGATAATGTGTGTGAAGGAACATAAAATTTTCAACCCCATAAATCAAATAAGAGTTAAAAAAAAGAACATTAGTAAACAATAGTTACAATTTAAAACCATTAGATCAAAGGATAAGATATATTTAAAATGTTATGGCCCGACTCTCTAGTTTTTCTCCAGTGAAGTTACCAAACTATCATAACATATAGATCCGTAAATCTATAGCCAGACTTAACAAAAGGAGTCACCATCAATCTTTTTAGCTATGTGTGATTTGCCACCTAAAGAATCTATTCTTTTAAAGAGCTCTTAAGTTTGACTAAAAGTCCCTAAAAAAAAAGTTTGGGTCTACTAATCAAAACTAGATTTGAAAGTTCAGTTATATCTGGAGAATGTTATAGCACTCTCACATACCTATCTAAAGAATGGTACCATTTATTTTAAATTATCACAAGGTCTTGATTCTAACGGTTTTAATCTTTAATGTTGAATATTGAAAATAATTCTTAAGATTCTTCTTCAATCTAGTAGATTTCTTAAAAATTATATCCTCACCTCAAGAATATTCAAGAATTCTATTTATTTTCTTAAAGAGGCTCCATCGTCAGAAAATTTTTTATATTTTTTATTTTGGTTTTTGTTGAAAATATATCTAATTATTCTACCATTTGGGCTAAATTAAAAATATCTTTTCTTTTTCTTTTTTTGTTTTTAATTTTAAAATTTTTTACCATTTGGGCTTATTTAAATTTTTTTTTTAAATCTTTAGAAAGAAAATAATATAACAACTACTTTTTATTAAAATTTCATTTAAATTCTTCTATCATTTAGGAGAAATTTAAAGAAATTTCTTACTTAGAGATTTCTTAAGAATTTACTATTTGAAATTTCTAAGAATCTCATCATTAAATAATTATAAAATATTTTCAACAAAAAAATTTTATTTTAACTTATTATTATTTTTTCTCTTTTTGTGTTTGAAAATAAATATTAATTATTGTTATTGAAATGTTATCTAAATTATTCCACCATGTGGGACAAACTTAGAAAAAATTTTTCACCTAAGAATTTTATAAAAATTTACCATTTGAAATTTTTAAAAATTTCATCATTAGATAATTTGTATTTATTCTTAAAAAATATTTTATTTTGTTTTATATTTTTCCTAAAATTTAATCATGTAAAAATACCCCTAAAAATAAACAAACACATAAATAAATAACTAAATAAAATAAAAAAAATACCTAAAAAAAAAAAGAAATGACTCAGCTGGAGTGGCTCGGTGCGCCTTGGCTTCAAGCATAAAAAGCGGCTTGGAGACTTGGCTTTGAGGCTCAGCTCGGTTGAAGAGTTTGGTTGAGACGCGAGTCGACGGAGCAAGTTGAGCTCAGGTCGGGTTGGCCTGAGTGGAAACGTGCGGATCCTGGGTTTTTTAAATACCTAAAATGATGTCGTTTGACAGTAGTATAAAAGGCTTAATTCTTTTTTTTTCCTCAAATTTTCCTTTCTCTCTCTCTCTCTATCCTCTTCTCTTTTCTCTTCCACTCTCTCTAAACCCGAAGAACTTCGGTGGAATCTTTGTCGAATTTTGAAAAATTTTGTCAAAATTTGGGTTGGTTTGTCGAAAGTTCACAAAAAAATTCAAACTTCATCGGAATCTTCAACTGAATTCTAAAAACCCTATCGAAAAATTCAATTGGAGCCAGAAAATTCACCAAAAACTAGAAAAAGTCACTGAAATATAGAAATTTTTCAGATTTTTCTAGAAAAGAAAAAAATCTCTTTTTTTTTAAACCTAAAAAATCTTCAAAAATTTTTTGATTGTTTTTTGCTTTTCTGTGTGATCTCTGTATATCTGATTTGTTGTCTTCTGAAGCTTGATTAGGGTCTGTATTTATAAGGTTAAAAATTCAAAAATCCCTAATCCAAAAATGACTTTGATTCCTTTTAAATTCTTACTTCCAACCTTAAATCCAACACAAATTCAACCACCTATTTTTATTTTTATTTATTTTTTAATTAACAGAAACAAATAGAGCCCGAGACGGATTGGGGTGTCTACATCTTTTTCTTATATTTCTCTTATTTTTAATGTAAAGACACTACATATATTTGCAAGTTGTTAGGAATAATGTCCCCAGGCAATTGCAATACTGAAAATGAGGCCACATTTGAACTTGCTACTCAGAAAATCAATTCAAGCCTCCGTTGAACTCTCAGTTACCTGGATAAGCAATGATTTCATATCAAGGAGAACTTCATTTGCCTGGTTTTAGAGAGAGAGAATTTGTCTGATTTTAGAGAGAAAAAATAAATTAACAATGAAGAAGAAGGAAAAAAAAAGAAATCCAAAAAATAATAGTTTTAGTTAAAAATGCAATAAAACAAATCATAAAATAATTGTCACTTTTAAACCTCATGGGCATTTTCAATCCATCCTTATCCGCGGGTATATTTTTGAAGTTTACCCCTTTTTTTTTAATTAATTCAACCATGATGTTTGATTATATATAAGCATCATTTGCCATCCGATTAGGGAGTCAACCATGTAATTCCCTGCAGCAGCAAATTCTAAGCTGTTTCATTTCTAGCAAGCTCTACATTTTCTGAAACCTTATTTTCATCAAATTCACCATCTTCTTCCTTGACCTGTTCCAATGGCTTGTAAGTATAAAGCCGAGCACAAATTATGTAGTAAATCAGATTCACAACTTGGATCCCGCTAACAAGCCAATAGTAGTATTCCAATCTTCCCCTGTTGAGATTCCTGTTAGGCAACCAGTTCCTTTTTTGACCAGTGTATTTGTGGACAAGTGATACCAGCAATGTCCCGATGTAGTCTCCTATTGCTATTGCTGTCCAATACAGGGCTGCAGCTGTGCTTCTCATGCTTTCAGGTGACTGGTCATACAGGAATTCAAGGTGTCCGACTGACATGAAAACCTCTGCTACCCCATTGAGGCAAAATTGAGGAACTAACCAGAACACACTGATGGGAATTATGGCTTTTGGATCATCCAATAAGTTATGATTGCCTGCAACTGATTTCCTTTTCATCTCAACAAATGATGCAACGAGTGTTGTTAGGATGTTGACTCCGAAACCAATGCCCATTCTTTGTAAACATGTTACTCCCTTGGGGTTGCCTGTGAACCGTCTTGCGAATGGCACGAAGAGGCGTTCGTATAAAACTAGTCCGAATAGCATGGTTAGGATGCCAAAGATGGACAAACTGGCTGGTGGGATTTCGAAGGATTTGGATAAGTGACGGTCCATGGTTTGAGCTTGTTGGATGGTGAAGCTTTGCTGGTGTGAGGATGAGGCGACATGTAGAATTCCAGCAGCCCAAATTGGCAAAATTCGGATTATGGTTTTTAGCTCTTCAACTCTATGAACTGTTGCCAGCCTCCAGAGATTTGGTGGGTTGGAATTTTTAGCCTCACTTTCTATTACTATTGCAGCTTTGTCAAACCATCTGTAAATAAAGATTGAACAAGCAGTTTAAGCATTCAAATGTTTTAGACATCTGATATTTTTGAACAAAAATATATCAATTACAACAAGTCGCCAACAGCCCTGTAATTTGTTGGACTCTTGATTCCAATGATCTAGATTCAAATCTAGATAACTTCAAATATTTAAAAAAAAAAAAAGTAGTTTTGAACAGAAAAGCATAGCTTACTTGTATTGATTTGTATGTAGAAGTCTTCCATGAACAGAAATAGCTGCATCAAGCTCTTTGTTCTGATACAGGAGCTTGGGGTCCGCAGGTACAATTTCCTTTCTTTTTTTCACAGCTGCAGCAATCACTTGAGCCAATCTAATCAATGGACTTCCACCTGGTTTCATTTTCCTATAGAGGGGTGAACCTATAAGAAAGGTTACGATAGATATAACCATGGCTATTGTTGGGATCCCAAGACCCCAACCCCAGCCCACATTGTCTTGCACGTAAACCACCACAGTCAAGGCAGTCAATGTGGCTAATCCCATGCTAAAATAGTACCAATTGAAGAAATTCCATTTCGTAGATCGAGCAGTGCTTGGTTTATCCATGTCAAATTGGTCAGCAGCGAATGTTACAACACAAGGCCTAATGCCACCGGTGCCAAGAGATGTGAGGAGAAGAGAAATGTACAATATCCACAGCTGAAATGTTGAAGCTTCCTGGCAGTTTTCTTTAGTCGAGCACGGTAGCGGACGAAGAGATGGTAGCACTGCCGATATGGTGATGCTAACCAAGCCCTGCAGCAAGATACAGGGCAATGGGTTAATCAATTGAATGAATTCATTACTAATTTTATCATTGCAAACGACTTAGCAGTTGAGGAAAAAGAGTGAAAGTGAGACCAGTTCATAAAAAATGGAACCAATAGTGATTGTCCAAAAGCGTCCAGCAAACGAGTCAGCAATCAAAGCACCAATGAGGGGAGTAAAGCTGGCGGTTCCACTAAAAATGGTGAGGGTGTTGGAGGCTTGAACCAGGGGCATGTTTAGTTCCTGAGTTAGGTATGTTATCATGTTGCTATGGAATCCACTAGCAGCAAATCTATCACATATTTCATTTGCTGTCACAAAAAAAAAAAAAAATCGAAGACAGTTAATTCTCTGCTAACAACTCCTTTAATTGAATAAATTGCTTCATTAGTCTGTAATTTTTTTTCCTAAAAAACAAAAATTTTTCATGTGCAACTTTTTGAATTTGTTACAAATGTAATACACCACCAAATTTTGGATGAATTGTGCATAAAATTTTTTACACGACAATTTTGTGTACGTGATAAATTCTGTCGAAATTTTAATTATATGATGATGAATGGATAAATTTGAAACATATTAACTTAAAAAGTTATGGACAAAAAATAATGTTTTTTGTGTTGCAAATGAATATGAAACTAGATAATTACCAACATATATATGATCTATTTATAAAGAATTGAACTCTTAATTTTATTTATAGATATCGTATTTTGTTTAAAGTTTAAAATTTTGAAATTACTTTTGGGAATGTATTATTTTTTATGTTATTTGGATCCAATTGGATCTAAACTTAAAAACTCAATTTCCCTTTTATTATTTTAAGATTTTTTATTATTTATTTTCATTTATTTTTATAGGTTATTCATTTTCATTAGTTATTTTCATTTAGAGATTTATTTCTTATATATCTTTATTTATTTCTTAATTATCTTTACTTTGAAACAAAAAAATAAAATAAAAAAAATGAAAAAGGTTGAAAAAAGATGTAGCTGAGTTTGAATTCTTAAAGGAAAGGAATTTATTAAATTTAAGGGTTTTGTACTGAGATCAAATTTTTTGTCAGATACATAATGCATTGATAAAATCTAAAGAGTTTCATTTTAACAAAAATGGGTGAGAACAAAGATGAAATTCTAAAATTACTTTGAAGATAATTTTTAGAATAATCTTTGATTGAGTTAAAGACTTTATCAAAATGGGATTAAGTTCCTATAAATACCCAACAATTTATCACTTACCAAAACAATAATTATAGAGAAGAACTTGAAAGTAAAAAAGTTTTATGCAGTTTAAGTTCAAAATTTAGGCTTTTTCTAGTTCCCATCGATATTCTAATGAGATTTTTAGGTTTTAGTGAGCGTTGAAGTTCCTGACAATGATTTTGACAATACTTTCAGATTCTAATGATAATTCTCAGTTTCCCTAAGTGTCAACTCAACCCAACCCAACCCAAGTGTCTATTGGGAATAGCAACTCAAATCCCATAAGAGATTTATTTGAAATTGATTAGATATTGCTTGATGGATAAGAAAACTTATAGAAGAAGAATTCTAAGAGAAAAGAGATTCTTGATAGGCAAGTTTACATGCTTATAAATAGATGAAGTTTTTATAGGGTTAAGTAGAAAAAGATGTAAGAGAGTCGTAGGGTTTTATGAGATAGATACCCTATAGGATTATTAAAGATTTATGTTTTATAGGTGTGTATATTTGTAAGTGGACTAGAGGAGACTGAGATGATTTACATAGGTATGGTGCATAGGTGCATATAGGTATGTGTTTGTTTGGGTTGAAAATACTCTATAAGACTCAAAAAAATTGAAAGTGTCTATGGGTATTGATGTGGTTGATATAATTGTATGTTTGTAATTCTCTATAATTAGTGGATCTTATTTCTCATCCATAGACGTAAGTCAATTGGGTCAAACCACATTAAATTATTATCTTTTATATGATTGATTAATTGTTTGTTTTTGTTTTCGTTGGTGTGAATGTTTAATTGGATTAAAGGCTTTTGTGCCTAATAAATGATATCAGAGCTGAAGGTTCAAGACGTGAAAAGAGTTAGAGGTTCAAGATATAAGAAAAGATTAAGCCTAGAGGAGCTTGATTTAAGGAAAGAGTTCAATTTCATGTTTTGAGGATCAATTTACATGAAGTTTAAACATGCACAAGAGAAGATTGTTATGAGACTTTCATTGCAAGTTAAGTCAAGCATTTTAGCATGAAGATCAAACCTAGAGGAGCTTGATTTAAAGAAAGAGTTCGAGTTCATATTTTAAGGATTGGTTTGCATGAAGCTTGAAGATGCACAAGAGAAGATTGTTATAAGACTTCCATTATAAGTAAAGTCAAGCATATCTAGTGTGAAAATTGATGATTGATAGAATTTGAGTTAAAGTGAAAATTATTGAGAATAATGACTCAAATCTCATAAGAGATTTGTTTGGAATTAGTTAGATATTGCTGATGGACAAAAAGATTTGGAAAAGAAGAGTTCTAAGAGAAAAAAGATTCTTGATAGGCAAGTTTATATGCTTATAAATAGGTGAAATCTCTATAAGGTTAAGTATGAGAAAAAAAATTAGAGAATTGTAGGGTTTTATGGGATAGATACCCCATTGGATTACTGAAGATTTACATCTTATTAGTGTGGATGTTTGTGAGTAGACTAGAGGAGATTGAGATGATCTACATAAATATAGTGCATGGGTACACATGGGTATGTGATTGTTTGGGTTGAAAATACTCCATAGGACTAAAAAAAATTGAAAGTGTTTGGTATTGATGTGGGTGATATGATTGTATGTTTGTAATTATCTTTAACTAATGGATCTTATTTCTCATCCGTGAACGTAGGTCAATTGGGTCGAACCACGTTAAATTATTGTCTCTTGTATGATTAATTGATTATTTGATTTTGTTTCCGTTGGCATGAATATTCAATTGGATTAGAGGCTTTTATGTCTAACAATGTCAACCCGATTGTGGATCCAACCCGTAGTACTAAGATCTAAGAACCTGCATCTCACAATCCTAAAGCCAAGCCATGTATTGAGCTTCCAAACTATCATTTGTTTTTATAGATAAGATGCTGTCAAGCCTGAGCTGAGCTGCCAATAGTCTTTTTGGTAATTTTATTTATTTACTTATTTTATGTAAATTTTATTTATTTATAATATTTAAATTAATTTTTGTTAAAAATATTTTTAAATAAATCCATAAATCCTGCTAAACTATTAAAGAATTTTCATAGATTAAAATTAATTTAAAATTATGAATTCTACAAAGTATCGGAGAATTTCATAAGAACAATTTAATAAAAATATATATCTTTTTTCAAAATTAATTCTACCAAACTACTAAAAAATTTAAATTTTAAAATTAAATCTTATCGAATTATTAGAAAGTTTAATTATTTTTTTCAAAGAAAATGAATGTTTGAAATTAATCTTACCAAACTATTGAATGATTTAAAACTCATATTAAATCTTACCAAAATTTGAAAGATGTATTGATTTTTATAAAACAATTCATAATTTTTTTCAATCTTATCAAATTATTGAAAGATTTAAATTTCGAAATTAAATATTATATATCAAATTATTAGAAGATTTAATAATTCTTTTAAACAAATTTATAAATAAATTTTTGAATATGAATTCTATCAAATTATTAGAAGATATGTTTCAAATTAAAATCTTACCAAACTATTAAAAGATTTTATTGATTTTGAAAATAATTAATTTTTAGAAAACACATTAATGAATCCACCAACAAAGCTTTTTTAGAGTAGTACACTAATCTTTATGAATACTCTGTAAGTGAAATTTTTTTTTAATTTATTATCAAACTATTAGAGTAATTTTAATATTAATTTGTAATATTAAATTTATTCAGTAAAATTATAGATATGTTTTAAAGCTTTGATAATAAAAAATCAATTGATACTATTTTTTGGATAGACGTTATAAGGGTACTATAATATTTTTCATGTATAATCATACTTTCAAACTTAATTTTGGTTTAAAAATACTTGAATTAAGCTTGGAACTTATCTTTAAAAGAGAGACGGATTTAGTTAAATAGTCAATTGTAGCTAAATAAAAAATATTGTGAAGACTTCTAAATTATATCTGATAAGTTTACACATATATACATTATAATATCATTGATTAGGTTCGATCACCACAAGTTAACTACCAAATTAAAGAAACTGGATGATGAAACTTAGTGATTACAACCTATTACACCATATATTGGAATGAAATTGTTGGTTTTGGAAGTAAAACATGAGCAGGACAGACATAAACACAAAAAACAATAATAATGGAAACTCACCGAGAATGAATGGCATTGTTTTGATGCCTCCAAGTTTCATGTTCTTAATCTTACTCTCCTCCTCTTGTTTCCCATCTTCCTCAGCCTTGTTCTTCTGGTTAGTCAAATCCATCCCAGCTGGTTTCATCTCCATTGCATAGAGCAGCAGTAAGATATGCTTGGGACCATATATATAAGCAGCAGTTGCAGCCCAGTGATTGAAACAGTGGTGCAACCCAACGAGAGGTGTGGTCGGAGTAGGGTAGGGCCTATCAGTTTACTTCAATTTTATATCTGACGTCTGATCTTAGGTCACAATTTTTGAGCTTTACTTCCAATTCAAATTGTTTTTGTAGCAATAATTGAGTAAAATCTAATAAATAGAAGTAGGTAAGATGCTTTAGGTTATATATGTATCCATTGAATTAAAAATTGTATACACGACTTAATAGTTGATAACGACTTAATAGTTGATAACGGCTGTTGGGAAAATTTTGAGATGGCAGGAGTAGTGTAGTTATTATAGAATAAGGTAAGAAATGAGTTGAGAAAGGCGATATGTGGAAGGAGAGAGAAATCTAATCATTAAATGAAATGAGTTAACATATTTATGAAATGAGAAATCTAAAGTAATTTTACAAAATTAATGATTTTTTATTATATTTCTTAAGATATTGAAATTATTTTTTGATGGTGGTAAAATATTTCATAATAATACATAATACATATATAACAATAAGATTTTTTTTTTCAATTGTCTTGCTTTTTTAAAAAATTACATCTATATTAAATAGGTTTTGAGAACAATTTTTTTTTTTTTGAAATTATCTTACTCATTTATTAGATTATATAAGTTTCAAAACAAATATTTTATAAATTATTTTACTCAATTAAAAAATTATATTTAAATTTGTATAAGTCTCAAATCGAAGTGCGAATCTTTATCCTCATATATATAAAATTTATGTTAAACTATTTTTTAAATTCATTTTTATTGGCAAAGAAATTTTTAACTTCACATAGTCAAAAGATCAGTATGTCCTATTTTTATTTTTTTATTTTTAATATAATTTTAGAGGTATGTATTAATTTACAAGTCTTGTTTGTAAAATTTAAAATTTTCATGAAATATTTAAATAACATAAAAATGAAAGAAATTATAAAAATCTAAAAAATCCATGAAATACTTAAATAAAATAAAAATAAAAGAAATTAACTTTGCATGAAATAATTTCTTTTTCGCCTTTAAACTTTGTTAATGCATATATGGCTTTTTTATCATATATGACTTGTTTGATGTATGGTAATGGAGCATGTGCCGCTGGAGGATTTTATATCCATGAAACAGCCAATTCTTTCAGAACAAATTGGAAAACAAACCTGGTTACTTACGTCTCCTTATTCATCTGCCATTTGTGGGGCCATCATATATGTTTTCTTTTTGTCTTTCATACTTAGCAATTTTATATCATTTTTTATAAAGTTAGTTAGTGCCACAATTGGATATATTATATTTTATGTTAAAAATTAATAAATCAAATCAAATGAATAAATAAATCAATAAATTATCATTCAATTGTCTCCTAGCATTTGACTCGGTGTCTGGTGAACGATTTCCTTGCTTAACCCTTTCTTTCACCTTCTAGTATAATGTCTACTAAACTGTGAAGTATTAGGAACGTAGATTTAATAATTTAAATTATAATATGAAAATGATATGAAAGAAAATATAAAAATAATATAATTAAAAATTTTATAAAAATTATATATGAATTTGATAAAAATAAAAAAAAATTATATTTAATGTATTAATATGAATTTAATATGATAATTTTTATATTTTATGTATTTAACATGATATAAATATGATGTAAATGTACAAATTATTGTATATTATTTAGGAAGAGAGTGAACATGTCTTACTTTCATATATTTTTATCTCCTGTTTCTAATATTATTCTATGTGAAAATTACCCTGTAAGTGTAAGTTATCTCCAGATTGCTGTTACTATGCTGTGTGTCCTCTTTAAAAAACCATTTAGATGATAATATTATTTTTTTTATATAGATATATAAATGTACTTTCATGCATGTATAGATTATTATTAATTAATATTTTATTTTTTAATTTTAAGTTACATAATTTTAACTATACATGAATTTAGATATTTATTAAATTATTATATTCATGAATTCAATTAACTATAAAGAATATACTTCGTGTTTTATGTTATTTAAATTTTTATTTTAAAATCATATCTATTATTATTAAATAGTATCAATAATATGAATCAAATTTAAATTGCATGAATTTAATTATTCATGAACTTAACCATTCATAAATCTATGGATCTATGAACCTAATTAATTATAGTTGAATGTATTTAAATTATTCGTGATCATAGGCATTCATATATTTATGGTATTCAAACTACCTTGTGTTTTGTGTTTTATAAATTTTAAATTTAAATTCACATCTATTATTAAGTAGTATAAATTATATTAATTTAAATTCAAATTGAATTTAAATTCAATTATCTTAAAAAAAAATCTTATGACTCATCTTTAGTTGACTCAAGGTATTACAAAACTTCTAGATTCTCGCATCGCTAGCTTTGACGTTTTATCTCTAATGATAAAAAAAATTTTTTTTTACAAAACTTATCTCTACATTTATTAATGTTTCATATATTTAATGTTTACAATATCTATTAAATATTTTGAATACCTATGAATTAAATCAGTGCATTAAAATAGTAACACTTGCAAAATGGACAAGAAGTAATATAGAATCTAACTAATACTGCCTGCAAACCCATTAAATGCCTTCCTTGCATACGATCATTGTCTTCCTCTAAAGGTTGTTATCACCGTTTGTAGACCCACAATCTTTGACAAACAAACACTAGCTACAAATTCATAAGCTGCAGCATGCAATTTCTCTCACTAATGCTATGATCGCTCACCCTCTTCTCTTGGCCATATATAAAGAAGGAAAATGCTAGCGGCAGTATAGTTACACTCAGTTTTTTAACATTCGGATTAGAGGTATGAATAATACATTAATACTTACAAGTTATTTAAATTAATTAGAATAAAATTTAAATTCGATTAAATTATTATCGAGTCGAGTTCAAGCTCGAATAACTTGATTTATTGATCGAATCAAATGTAAATATTCTTATATCAGACTCGAGTAGTTTGCAAGCCTAATTGAGATTTTATATTTAAATATATTTTTATTATTTTAATTAATAAAATATCTCAAACTCGAGCTCGAACATAAATAATCAAGCTTTTGTCGAATATAAGAATTAAACTTATTTTTATATGTTAATCGAACTTATCAAACCAACTCGAGTAGCTTAATTTTATTTTAAGTCAAGCTCGAACTAAAAAAATAAAACTTGATTGAATTTGAATTCGACTCGAGTTTCGAACTTCAAATTTCGAATCAAACTCGAGCTCAAATTTGATATTGTGTCAATTCAAACTCAATCGATTCACCCTTAATTTATATAGATATGATAATTTATATACTTATTATGTAAAATATTAAATTTTATATATTCATATCGTATTTTATATAAAAATTACACATTATAATTTATGATATATATTGTAATTTATGTTAATACAAAAATATAAAGTATAATTTTTAAATTTTTTAAATTTATATAAAATTATATAAAATTATTTTAAAGTTTTAAATTATATTATTTTTTATATTTTTTTCATCTCCAATTCATATCGTATATTATATTCTGTTTTAAGTGATAAGATTTACATCCGGACTCTCAACAAGTCACGTCACTCCTACGTAAGAATTTAGACCGGCAACTTTTAATTAGTAGTAGGTTGTGTCTCCTCTGACTTGGGATAAACTATGAACAATTACAGAGAGAAGTTCAAAAGTTGAAGTCACGACTCACGACTAATGCAACTGCCCCCCCCCCCCCCCCAATTTTATTTGAAAAAAAATTCCCTCCTTCGAAAAGGTTTTCTTGTAACTTTGGAACGCATTCAACAAACTGTAATTCTGTAACCTATCTTCTTTATTTATTTATTTATTTATAAACTACAGGAGAAAATGAAGCTTTTGTTCTTAACTAAGCAGGAGATTGAAGATATGCTGATCTGATCCATTCAGATTTGCCAAATCTCTTGTCATCAATGATACGAGCTGGTCTTTGGAACTTTAAAGAACATTTGACTATATCCTGTTACTGTAATGGCGAAAATTTTGTCTCTTTGAGCCAAATTTGCCTATCCATTTGTGAAAAATATTGGAGATGTAAAGAAATATTATGATGGAAGAACTGAGAGTTGCCAATGGAATGCTATTTATTTTTAAAAATTAAGATTAAAGTAGATTAAACTCAAAAAAGTATCCAAAAAAAAAAAGCTCTCATTTTTATTAAATGATAAAGATAACAGTTATATTATTAAAAGATTACTTCACAAAAAAAGACCATTAATGTTTCTTTTTTGGTATTTTGAGTTAAAAAAAAAAAACAGGAGTATATTTTAGTTTTATGGGTTATGGTTATGGATATATTTTATATTTTTATTAAAAATTCATTTGAAAAAATGCAACTTGCAAGTTGCTAGTAAGATAAAGTCTTTTAGACTTCTAATAAAGGATAAAGAAAAGGTTGAAGGTAACCGAAACAATGGGTAGCGGGTTTCCAGTTTAAAATATAAAAGGACGTAATTAAAAATGTAAATAATACATTAATATTTGTAAACTATTTGGATTTGACTCGAATAAAATTTGAATTCGATTCAGTTATTATCGAGTTGAAACTCGAGTTCCAGTAACTCGATTTATTGATCGAACTGAGTTCAGTATTCTTATACTCGGCTTGAATAACTCATGACTAATCAAGCTTTTATATTTTAATATATTTTAATTATTTTAATTAATAAAATATCTCAAACTCGAGTTTAAGCTTGAATACAAATGATCAAGTTTTTGTTGAATATAAGAATGAGCTTATTTTTACATGTTAATCGAACTTAATCGAGCGAACTTGAGTATCTTAAATAGCTTAATTTTATCTTGAGTTGAGCTTGAATTAAAAAAAAAAATCAATTGAGTTTGAGTTGAGTTTCAAGTCTTGAATTTCAGATCGAGCTCAAGTTCAAGTTTAATATTATATTGACTCGAATTCGATCGATTATATCTCTAGGTGTAGCTCTTTGGAATCCCTATTATTCAAAAGTGGGTGTAAATATAGGAAAAGGATACTCTCCACTACTTAAATGTAGGGAAAGTTTTTATTAATTTATCTAATAATTAATAATGTATATTTATTTAAATTCAAAATTGATATTTATTTAAATTATTTTTATTTTTTA